TAATTATATAATTATTTAATATCAGTCTTCCATCTGCAGTGTAAGCTCCCTGAGAATGGGGACCAAGTCTGTCTTAATTTCTTACTCACTTCTGCATTCCTAGTATGTAGCCTATTACTGTACACAAGGCAGGTGTCAACAAATATTACTAAATTACTTTCTAAAAGAGGCCTAGACCCCCTCTGCTGTTTTTTAAAAATATGTTATTATATTGCCAACATTTTGCTACCCTAACATCAAAAATCTCTGTGGATGTTTTCTGCTGCTTTTATCCTCTGGCTTATCTAATGGATATTTTCTATCAGATTTTCTAGGGTGGGAAAGGGGGTTCTTCATGTCCCCCACCCCAGCCCAGATTGGCTGAATCGGCAGACTCAGTTCTAAGCCGAAGTCCTAAATTACAGCTGGAGAAGCTACATTGCTAACAAACTCTGCAGGTAACTGCTGCACTGGCGAGTTTGGCACCCATTCTTTGGTAACACTGCTCTGGGTCCAGATTCTCTCATCATTTCAGCCCGTGCTGCGTTCTGCTTTTGCTCTTAAGGCTGCAATTTTTTCTTTGGCCACCTGCCCTTTAAGGACGGCTGGAAGGCCACCCCAGCTGCCTAGTTAAGAAGCTCATTAATCTCATCTTTATCTTCCTGGTCATGCCGACCAACCCAGCTTTATGGGCTACAGATTGTCACAGCTCTCTGATCCAACTTCATAGACAGTGCAAAGGAAATAGCCCAAGATTTGAAATAAAGAAACTAGAATGCATCTGCACACAATTGTTTGCTATCTGTGTGACCTTGAACATATTACTTAACTTTTCATTGCTTCAGGTATAATAATAATATCTGTCCTCCTTATTTCAGAGACGTGAGGATCAAATGACATGATGTATTATGCCAGAACTTTATAAACTGTAAGTGGATATATACATATTAATTATAAATAATAACCTCAGCCATCTTACTCTTTGCATGATGGGGGGAACTATTTACACACTGATGTCTTTAATAAGAAAGGACATTCTTCCTAGCATTGTCTTGTTCCTTCTTTTTAAAAAAATTTATTTACTATACTTCAAGTTCTGGGATACATGTGCAGAACATGCAGGTTTGTTACATAGCTGTATATGTACCATGGTGGTTTGCTGCACTTGTCAACCCATCATCTATGTTAGGTATTTCTCCTAATGCCATCCTTCCCCTAGGCCCCCCACCCCCGACAGGCCCTGGTGTGTGATGTTCTACTCCCTGTGTCCATGTGTTCTCACTGTTCAACTCCCACTTGTGAGTGAGAATATATGGTGTTTGGTTTTCTGTTCCTGTGTTGGTTTGCTGAGAATGATGGTTTCCAGCTTCACCCGTGTCCCTGCAAAGGACACGAATTCATTCTTTTTTATGGCTGCATCGTATTCCATGGTGTATATATGTGCCACATTTTCTTTACCCAGTCTAACATTGATGGGCATTTGGGTTGGTTCCAAGTCTTTGCTATTGTGAATAGTGCTGCAATAAACATATGTGTACATGTGTCTATATAGTAGCATGATTTATAATCCTTTGGGTATATAACCAGTAATGGAATTGCTGGGTCAAATGGTATTTCTGGTTCTAGATCCTTGAGGAATCGCCACACTGTCTTCCAGAATGGTTGAGCTAATTTACACTCCCACCAACGATGTAAAAGCGTTTCTATTTCTCCACATCGTCTCCAGCCTCTGTTGTTTCCTGACTTTTTAACTACTGCCATTCTAACTGGCTTGAGATGGTATCTAATTGTAGTTTTAATTTGCATTTCTCTAATGATCAGTGATGATGAGCTCTTTTTCGTATGTTAGTTGTCCACATAAATGTCTTCTTTTGAGAAACATCTGTTCATATCTTTTGCCCACTTTTTCATGGGGTTTTTTTCTTGCAAATTTGTTTAAGTTCCTTGTAGATTTTAGATATTAGACTTTTGTCAGATAGATAGATTGCAAAAATTTTCTCTCATTCTGCAGGTTGTCTGTTCACTCTGATGATAGTTTCTTTTGTTGTGCAGAAACTCTTTAATTAGATTCCATTTGTCAATTTTGGCTTTTGTTGCCACTGCTTTTGGTATTTTAGTCACAAAGTCTTTGCCCATATTTATGTTCTGAATGGTATTATCTAGGTTTTCTTCTAGGGTTTTTACGGTTTTAGGTTGTACGTTTAAGTCTTTAATACATCTTGAGTTAATTTTTATATAAGGTGTAAGGAAGGAGTACCGTTTCAGTTTTCTGCATATGGCTAGCCTGTTTTCCCAGCACCATTTATTAAATAGAGAATCTATTCCCCATTGCTTGTTTTTGTCAGGTTTGTCAAAGATCAGATGGTTGTAGATGTGTGCTGTTATTTCTGAGGACTCTGTTCTGTTCTATTGGTCCATACATCTCTTTTGGTACCAGTAACATGCTGTTTTGGTCACTGTAACCTTGTAGTATAGTTTGAAGTGAGTTAGCATGATGCCTCCAGATTTGTTCTTTTTGCTCAGGATTGTCTTGACTATGCATGCTCTTTTTTGGTTCCATATGAAATTTAAAGTAGTTTTTTGTAATTCTGTGAAGAAAGTCAATGGTAGCTTGATGAGAAAAGGATTGAATCTATAAATTACTTTGGGCAGTATGGCCATTTTCACGATATTGATTCTTCCTATCCATGAGCATGGAATGTTTTTCTATTTGTTTGTGTCCTCTCTTATTTCCTTGAGCAGTGGTTTGTAGTTCTCCTTGAAGAGATCCTTCACATTCCTTGTAAGTTGTATTCCTAGGTATTTTATTTTCTTTGTAGCAATTGCAAATGGGAATTTACTCATGATTTGGCTGTCTGTTTGTCTGTTATTGGTGTATAGGAATGCTTGTGATTTTTGCACATTGATTTTGTTTCCTGATACTTTGCGGAAGTTGCTTATCACCTTAAGGAGTTTGGGGCTGAAATGATGGGGTTTTCTAAACATATAATCATGTCATCTGCAAACAGAGACAATCTGACTTCCTCTCTTCCTATTTGAATACCCTTTATTTCTTTTGCTTGTCTGTTTGCCCTGGCCAGAATTTCCAATACTACATTGAGTTGGAGTGTTGAGAGAGGGCATCCTTGCCATGTGCCAGTTTTCAAAGGGAATGCTTCCAGCTTTTGCCCATTCAGTATAATATTGGATGTGGGTTTGTCATAAATAACTCTTATTATTTTGAGATATGTCCCATCAATACCTAGTTTACTGAGTGTTTTTAGCATGAAGAGGTATTGAATTTTGCCGAAGGCTGTTTCTGCATCTGTCGAGATAATCACGTGTTTTTTGCCATTGGTTTTTTTTCTGTGATGGATTACATTTATTGATTTGGGTATTTTGAACCAGCCTTGCATCCCAGGGATCAAGCTGCCTTGATCATGGTGGATAAGCTTTTTGATGTGCTACTGGATTTGGTTTGCCAGTATTTTACTGAGGATTTTCACATCAATGTTCGTTAGGGATATTGACCTAAAATTCTTTTTTTTTTGTTGTATCTCTGCCAGGCTTTGGTATCAGTATGATGCTGGCCTCATAAAATGAGTTAGGGAGGATTCCCTCTTTTTCTATGGATTGGAATAGTTTCAGAAGGAATGGTACCAGCTCCTCTTTGTACTTCTGGTAGAATTCGGCTATGAATCTGTCTGGTCCTGGAATTTTTTTTCTTGGTGGGCTATTAATTAGCACCTCAATTTCAGAACCTTTTATTGGTCTACTCTGGGATTTGAGTTCTTCCTGTTTAGTCTTGGGACGGTGTATGTATCCAGGAATTTATCCATTTCTTCTAGATTTTCTAGTTTATTTGCATAGAGATGTGTATAGTATTCTCTGATGGTAGTTTGTATTTCTGTGGAATCGGAGATGATATCCCCTTTTTCATTTTTTATTGCATCTATTTGATTCTTCTCTCTTTTCTTCTTTATGAGTCTTGCTACCAGTCTATCTCTTTTGTTGATCTTTTCAAAAAACCAGTTCCTGGATTCATTGATCTTTTGAAGAGGTTTTTATGTCTCTATCTCCTTCAGTTCTGCTCTGATCTTAGTTATTTCTTGTCTTCTGCTAGCTTTTGAATTTGTTTGCTCTTGCTTCTCCAGTTCTTTTAATTGTGATGTTAGGGTGTTGATTTTAGATCTTTCCTGCTTTCTCTTGTGGGCATTTAGTGCTATAAATTTCCCTCTACATACTGCTTAAAATGTGTCCCAGAGATTCCGGTACATTATGTCTTTGTTCTCATTGGTTCCGAAGAACATCTTTATTTCTGCCTTCATTTTGCTATTCACCCAGTAGTCATTCCAGAGCAGGTTGTTCAGTTTCCATGTAGTTGTGTGGTTTTGAGTGAGTTTCTTAATCCTGAGTTCTAGTTTGATTGCACTGTGGTCTAAGAGACAGTTTGTTGTGATTTCTATTCTTTTACATTTGCTGAAGAGTGTTTTACTTCCAATTATGTGGTCAATTTTAGAAGAAGTGTGATGTGGTGCTGAGAGGAATGTATGTTCTGTTGATTTGGGGTGGAGAGGTCTGTAGATGTTTATTAGGTCTGCTTGGTCCAGAGCTGAGTTCAAGTCCTGGATATCTTTGTTAAGCTTCTGTCTCATTGATCTGTCTAACATTGACAGTGGGGTGTTAAAGTCTCCCATTATTATTGTGTAGGGGTCTAAGTCTCTTTGTAGGTCTCTAAGAATTTGCCTTTTGAATCTGGGTGCTCCTGTATTGGGTGCATATATATTTAGGATAGTTAGCTCTTCTTGTTGAATTGATCCCTTTACCATTATGTAATGGCCTTGTCTCTTTTGATCTTTGTTGGCTTAAAGTCTATTTCATCAGAGACCAGGATTGCAACCCCTGCTTTTTTTTTGCTTTCCATTTGCTTGGTAGATCTTCCTCCATCCCTTTATTTTGAGCCTATGTGTGTCTTCGCACATGAGATGAGTCTCCTGAATACAGCACACTGATGGGTCTTCACTCTTTATCCAATCTGCCAGTCTGTGTCTTTTAATTGGGGCATTTACCCATTTACATTTAAGGTTAATATTGTTATGTGTGAATTTGATGGGTTTTGAATTTGGTGGGTTTTGATCTTCTTCCCCTTCTTGGTACTTGTCAATTTCTGCAATAAATTCAGACATGGACAGATGCATTAAGCTGATTCCTCTACACACATAACAATCCACTGTCTAATCCTCATACAGGGACCTCAGGCTCCTCAGCATAAGAATAGGACACTGTGAGAGATATATTTCAGGAGGCCTGAAGGCTGGTCATGATAGAGATTCCTTGGTTTTTGTCCCAGAAACTAAGGTAAAATGTCCCTATTCTGGTAGATCATTATCCCAATATCATTTGTTCCAAGTTTGTGCAAACGGTTATGCCATATTTTCCCAATCAATTTAAAGCAAATGCCCTCAATGGTTTCTAGGAGAAAAAATTGCAATCTTCAGCCCTTTCTCATCAAATACTCAGATTGTTCATGGTTGTGAGGATTTTTGACACTGAAATTAGATTGAAAAAGAAAATCTACAAACCCTTGAGTCAAAATCATAGTTCTCTGAATTTATCACATCTGCCCAGGTCCAATGTCTTCCGAGTAGAATCAGAGTGCCATGGGCATGGCCTGAGACTAGGAAGATAGCCATGCTCACTGACCCATCCCATGTCTGGGCTTCCATGTAGAACTAGAGTTTCACTGAACCTACATGTACGTATAGGTCCTCACTGTAGCAATGACATCTCTCAGCTCAGTAATGGCCACTTGGAGCAGGAATATGATCTCTATAAGGAAGACTCAGTGGATCCTTATTACCTTCATAGAAAGGTACTCACCGTCCACATCAAGAGAAAAGCCAATGTGTTATTCCTCCAATGAGTAAAAGGAATTTCCGTAGGACTGGCCTGAATTTGGTAGTTCAAGATAACTGGAAGGAGTCGAATAATAACTATTCAGTGAGTCCTGCAAGACTTCAGGCTCTACTACCTCCAGCAGTTCCCTGCTGAGCCTGGAAAAGCAGAAAAAGTAAAGAATAAGCCAGGGAAAAAGAGACACAACAGAGCCCCAACTAGATTTCATGGGTAGGATAAGGGAGTGGTTAAAAAAGAAAAAGGATAGATCCATTAATGAGGTAACAAATTATTGCCTTCATATTGGGACAGTAAAGGGCCAAATGGAAAAGAATGAAAGAGAAAGACAGAGAGACAAAGAGAGAGAGAGAGAGAGCTCAGTGAATTGTCCAGGTGACACACTGATGAGGGAGTAACAGGACACTCTGAGTTAGTGCCCTCAGGACACACAGTATACAGTGATCATGAAAAGACTGTGCTCAATAATTTTCCATAAAATGTGCTCAAGATTCCATGCAGTCACCATGAGAATACAGCTTTTGAAGTATGGTCGGCCTATAGTAGGTTTGTAAATGATAAGGGGAGAAAGAAATGGAAACCTAAATATCTACTGCAATGAAAACCAACAGCAATGTTAGTAGGAATAATTCAGGCTTGGTTGAAAAGATGTAATTGATATTGTTGGCCCGCTCTGTTTTCTCTGAACCAGGAATCTCCAAGTGTCAACACAGAATTAGCTGTTCACAATTGCTCAAAGTTACCTGGGGCATGGTGGGCCTTGGTCTTCTCCCTCTTCTTGGTCCTTTTTAATTCCTGCAACAAATTCAGACAGAGACAGACAAAATAAGACAATTCACCTAACCCATAACAGTCCACTGTCTAATCCCTACATGGGGACCTCAGGCTCTTCAGCATGAGAACAGGACAATGTGAAAGATATACATCAGGAGGTCTGAAAGTCGGTCATGATAGAGATTCTTTGGTTTGCATTTCAGAACCAAGGGTGAAATATCCCTATTCTGGTAGATTGTTATCCCAAAATCATTTATCCCAAGTTTGTGCAAACAGTTATGCCTTATTGTTCCCATCAATTCAAAGAAAATGCCCCAGATGATTTCTAGGAGGAAAGCTGCAGTATCCAGCCCTGTCTCATCAAATACCCAGCTTGTTCATGGTTCCAAGAAACTGAAATTAGAATGAAGGAGGAAATCTACAAACCCTTGAGTCCAAATCATAGTTCTGTGAATTTCTTAAATCTGCCTGGATCCAATGTGCTGACAGTGGGATCAGGTTGCCACAGGCATGGCTGGAGACTAGGAATAGAGCCATGCTCACTGACCCATTTCATGTCTGGGCTTCCAACTGAAACTACAGTTTCATTACAACCTATATGCGCCCATAGGTCCTGCCTGCAGCAATGACATCTCTCAGGTCAGTAAGGGCCACTTGGAAGAGGAATATCACCCCTATCTGGAAGGGGTGGAGCCTTATCTCCTTCATAGTAAGTTACTCACTGTCCACGTCAAGAGCCAAGCCAAGGTGCTGTTCCTCTAATGAGTAAAAGGCACTTCTGTAGGGCTGACATAAGTCAGGCAGTTCAAGATAACCAGGAGGAGTCAAATAACATCTATCCAGTGAGTCCTGTAAGACTTCAGCTCTTTCTCATCCAGCAGCTCCCTGCTGAGCCTGGAAAAGTAGGAAAAAGTGAAGAATAAGCCAGGTGGAATCAGAAACCACACAGCCCCAGCTAGATTTCATAGGTAACATAAGGAAGTGTTTGAGAAGAAAAAGGACAGATCCATTAATGAGGTAACAAATTATTGCCTTTATGTTGGGATAGACCAGGACCAGGTAGAAAAGCATGAAAGAAAAACAGAGAGAGAAAGAAACACACACACACACACACAGCTCAGTGAATTGGCCAGGTGACACACTGATAAGGGAGTCAAAGGACACTCTGCATTTGTGCCCTCAGGACACACGGTGAACAGTGATCATGAAAAGAGTGGGCTCGATAATTTTGCATAAAATGTGCTTAAGTTTCCCTGCAGTCACCATGAGAATACAGCTTTTGAGGTATGGTCAACCTTCACTAGGTTAGTAAATGATAAGGGTAGGAAGAAATGGAAACCTAAACATTTACTGTAATGAGAACCAAAAGCAATGTTAGTAGGTGTAATTCAGATTTGTCTGACAAGATGAAATCATTATTTTCAGCATGTACTGTTTTCCCTGGACTTGGTGTCTCCAGGTGTCAACATCAAATTAACTGTCCACAATTTCTCAGACTCACCTAGGACCTGTTGCTTCTGCTGGTGATACCCAGGCAAACAGGGTCTGGAGTGGAACTCCAGCAAACTCCAACAGACCTGCAGCTGAGGGATCCACCTGTTAGAAGGAAAATTAACAAACAGAAAGGAATAGCATCAACATCAACAAAAGGACATCCACACCAAAACCACATCTGTAGGTCACCATCGTCAAAGAACAAAATAGTAGATAAAACCACAAAGATGGGAGAAACCAGAGCAGAAAGGCTGGAAATTCCAAAAACCAGAAAGACTCTTCTTCTCCAAAGGAACTCAACTCCTCACCAGCAAGGGAACAAAACTAGATGGAGAATTAGTTTGACAAGTTGACAGAAGTAGGCTTCAGAAAGTTGGTAATAACAAACTTCTCTGAGCTAAAGGAGGATATGGAAACCCATCGCAAGGAAACTGAAAACCTTGAAGAAAGGTTAGATGAATGGCTAACTAGAATAAACAGTGTAGAGAAGACCTGAAATGACCTGATGGAGCTGAAAACTATGGCACAAGAATTACAAGATGCATGCACAAGCTTCAGTAGGTGATCTGGAAGAAAAGGTATCAGTGATTGAAGATCAAATTAATGAAATCAAGTGAAAAGAGAAGTTTAGAGAAAAAAGAGTAAAAAGAAATGAACAAAGCCTCCAAGAACTATGGGACTACATGATAAGACCAAATCTACATTTGATTAGTGTACCTGAAAGTGACGGGGAGAATGGAACTAAGCTGGAAAACACTCTTCAGGATATCATCCAGGAGAACTTCCCCAACCTAGTAAGGCGGGCCAACATTCAAATTCAGGAAATACAGAGAATGCCACAAAGATACTCCTCAAGAAGAGCAACCCCAAGACACATAATTGTCAGATTCACCAAGGTTGAAATTAAGGAAAAAATGCTAAGGGCAGCCAGAGAGAAAGGACAGGTTACCCATAAAGGGAAGGCCATCAGACTAACAGCCTATCTCTAGGCAGAAACCCTACAAGCCAGAAGACAGTCAGGGCCAATAGTCAACATTCTTAAAGAAAAGAATTTTCAACCCAGAATTTCATATCCAGGCCCACCTTACAACAGCTCCTGAAGGAAGCACTAAACATGGAAAGGAACAACCGGTGCCAGCCACTACAAAAACATGTCAAATTGTAAAGACCATTGATGGTAGGAAGAAAGTGCATCAACTAACAAGCAAAATAACCAACTAACATCATAATGACAGGATCAAATTCACACATAACAGTATTAACCTGAAATATAAATGGGCTAAATGTCCCAATTAGAAAACACAGACTGGCAAATTGGACAAATAGTCAAGATCCATCAGTGTGCTGTATTCAGGAGACCCATCTCACGGGCAGAGAAACACATAGGCTCAAAATAAAGGGATGCAAATGGAAAGCAAAAAAAAAAAAAAGCAGGGGTTGCAATCCTAGTCTCTGATAAAACAGACTTTAAACCATCAAAGATCAAAAGAGACAAAGAAGGCCATTATTAAAAGGGATCAATTCAACAAGAAGAGTTAACTATTCTAAATATATATGCACCCAATACAAGAGCACTCAGATTCATAAAGCAAGTCCTTACAGACTTAGAAAGAGACTTAGACCCCCCACACAATAATAATGGGAGAATTTAACACCCCACTGTCAATATTAGACAGATCAATAGACAGAAACTTAACAAGGATATCCAGGACTTGCAGACCTAATAGACATGTACAGACCTCTCCACCCCAAATCAACAGAATATACATTCTTCTCAGAACCCCATCACAATTATTCTAAAATTGACCACATAGTTGGAAGTAAAGCACTCCTCAGCAAATGTAAAAGAAGAAAAATCAGAACAAACTGTCTCTCAGACCACAGTGAAATAAAATTAGAACTCAGGATTAAGAAAGTCACTCAAAACTGCACAACTACATGGAAACTGAACAACCTGCTCCTGAATGACTACTGGGTAAATAACGAAATGAAGGCAGAAATAAAGATGTTCTCAGAAACCAATGGGAACAAAGACACAATGTATCAGAATCTCTGGGACACATTTAAAGCAGTATGTAGAGGGAAATTTATAGCACTAAATGCCCACAAGAGAAAGCAGTAAAGATCTAAAATCAACACCCTAACATCACAATTAAAAGAACTAGAGAAGCAAGGCAAACAAATTCAAAAGCTAGTAGAAGACAAGAAATTACTAAGATCAAAGCAGAACTAAAGGACATAGAGACACAAAAAAACCCTTCAAAAAAAATCAATGAATCCAGGAGCTGGTTTTCTGAAAAGATCAACAAGAAAACTCTGTTTGGCTAGTTCATCTGGCTCATCTGATTGCAAGTTCCTATCTTGAGAGGACTATGAAATTAAAACCAATACAAGTGCCACAAATAACACACATTGTTAATAACGACGATTTGTAACTGGGTGAATGGAAGAAATATTTCTATTCATCACTTCCTCGTTTTCCCTAAATCTACAATCTCCTGGTGTCACTACTGAATTAACAGCCCACAATTCCACAGCATTACCTGGGAGACACTGGCCCTTTTTCTTCCTCTTCTTCATGATCACTTTCATTTTCTGTAAATAAATTCAGAGAAGAGGTCACATTAAGCAATTCACACTTCACATATGACCAAATCACTGTATAGTCATAGCACAAGAACATAACTATTCTCAGTGCAAGAATATGGATTCTGATAGGAATATTCTAGGGTGCCCTAGATTAAGTCTGGTGAGAAGTAGATGACCCTGCTTTCCAGACCCACAGGCCAAAATCTCCCTCTCTGTGTAGACCATAATGCCATATTCCCTGCCTGAGTCAAAGTTAAACAAAAGTTTTCCCCAAAAAAATCTCTGAAAACTGGTCAAACAATTTTCTAGGAGTGTTGCTGCAATGCTGACTTATATTACCAGGTAATATGGACATTAAATGTTTAGAGGCATCTACACATGAAACTTGACTGATAGATAAATTAGAACAACTCTTGCTTTAAAAAGAATCTGTGATTTGGGAGGCCAAGACAAGTGAATCATTTGAGGTCATGAATTCAAGACCAGCCTGGCCAATATGGGGAAACCCCATCTCTACTAAAAATACAAAAATTAGCCAGATGTGGTGGTGTGCACCTGTGGTCCCAGCTACTCAAAAGGCTGAGGCAGGAGAATCACTTGAATCTGGAAGGCTGAGGTTGCGCCAAGCCAAGATGGTGCCACTGCACTCCAGCCTGGGTGACAGAGCAAGACTTCATTGCAAAAAAAAAAAAAAAAAAATCTATGACGCTACAAAGAAACAACATTGGATCAGCCATTGCACTGATGGGGTGGAGAACCAGGATCCAGCCTTGCTTTATGGAAATATATCAGCAAAGTAAAGAAGAAAAGTTTCTGTCCTGATTTCAAGGTGACTGCGCAGCTAAGCAAGCTGACTTACAGGAGATCAAGATTAAAGCTGAGAGCAGTGAAGCCTGGAGAACAATATTTCCAAATACAAAGGCAAGGCTGCCAGCTTCCTTAAAAAGGCATAGGAACTCCGTGGACATTGTTCAGGGACAGATGGCTTAATCACAGACGACAAGAAATACTGAATCAAAGCTAGGAGGCCTGACAGATACTTCCTGTGCATCTCCTGCACAGATGACTATGAGATCATCACACTTGCGTAGGGTCCAGTAACTTGATACTGGGGACTGGCAGACAAAGGCATGACATGAGTTGAGAAAGACAAAAAAACTCACTGATATCTGTGTTTAGAATCCGATCGGAGTTCTTTATTCAAACCAATTTGTGAGTATAGAGCCTGTCTTCAGAGTTTATCTTCCTCAGCCTAGACAGAGGTATGAGACACAAGGAATACAGAGGCTACCTGGGATAATTTGTACAACATCCTCCCATTCATCATGAGAGGATGAGTCAATGACAGTTGAGTCGACTTTGTCTTCCTCAAATGTGATTTTGGTGTTTCTGTGTGGCTTGTTGGAGTCACAAGGGCTGTGCTGTTTGAACAAGGGATGGCACATACCTCCAGTGAGTCCTCAGGGATTTCCCTTTCTTCAGCCTTCTGCACCTCCCTGATGAGCCAGGTGGGACAGAGATGGCAGAAGATTAAACACAGAGGGATTAGACCCCAGGGAGTCCTAGCTGGTTTTGACAAGAGGCATTAAGAGAGTGGTCCCAGAAAGCAAACAGGAGGTTCCCTTTGAGAGGGAACAGGCAAATCTCTTCTCTCTGCAACAGACCATGGCTGCCATGGGAGCCAGAGAGGAAGAGAGCAACTGGTGTTCATTGCACTGGACAGATAGGAGCTGAGGAGGATGAAGACTCAGCTATCCCTGTACGGTACAGACATGACACTCAGCACATACAGAGAAACACAACACAACAGCTGCTATACCCTGTGTCTAAGCTGGGTTGAATTTCACATACTGTGGCTAAGGGAATGCAGGCCTAT